CGCGCTGTAACCCGCGATCGTTGTTTACGACCGCTCGGGATCTCGCGCGAACGAGATCTGCTCCGGAGGAAGCGGAACTCGCGTCTCCTATTAACGGCCCCCGCGCCACTCTTTTCGTCAATCTCTCTCCTCCTCTTTCTGCGATATTTTACGCGCGGCTCACAGCCGTTTTCGCGAGAACCGCGATCTCGACACGAACGCGCGGAGTCATTCGAACAATGCAGGCCGCGGCGCACAATGCGAGGCGAGCGAGGGTGCATCGTTCTCTGCGCGACTGCACGCGCGCGCATCGACGAGCTCGCGTGTGTATTTGCGTGCGTATTTGCGCGCGCGGGAGCGCAGTTTTGCGCGCGGTCGTGCGCGTAACCGCAACAATGCGATCGCGATTTACGGAGGAATAAGCGATCGCGCCGACCGACCGCCTGCCGTCCGCTCTTCGAGAATGCCGGGCGTATCGCGGTGGCGATCGATCGGGGGAAGATCGATTTTTCTCGCCATCGGCTCGAGCAATGCGAGTCAGCCGTAGTTATGCAAGAAAGATCCGAATCGTACGAGGTATGTTTCGAGGAAATCGAAAACGAAGATTTCATACACGATTGAAATATTACAGACAGTGCAGTGAGATTCTTCGCGATCCAAGAAGTCAAGCATAGCCAATTTCCTTCTCTTTGAGGGCATTCACTGACAAGTTTAACCCTGAAAAAATAGGTAAAATAATAATAAGAAAAAAATAGCATAATCGGTGGAAATTAAAAACTTTTTTTAAATTAATTTTGGGCGCCTATAAGACTAGGATGTTTTTTGTTTTATGTAGAAAAACGTGTAAACTATCGGTAATTATAATAGGAATTAAAAAACCGTAGTTGAATGTTACTAAAAACAAATTCCTTACAGTATATTCTAACTCTTGAAATATGAATTTCAGATGAAATAAAAAGTTAATAAATTATTACAGAATATTAATTTGTTCTTCGGACTAAAAAGATTTACGGTAATTTTTACTATAAAAAATACAATATCCGAGCGACGTTCTTTTCATTTCGCGCTGGATCAGCAAAGAGGATTACTCGCGTAGGAATATACGAGCCCGGTGACCGAACGACCGGTCCTCCTTGCTTCACGTTCGCTCTCTATAAGGGAATTACGCAGGAACGGAAGAAAGGATACAGTCTCGGCCGCATTCTGCTGAACCTATTGGAGCATCCGCGATTATACTTAACCGAACCATAATTTAACCACCGCCGTAAAGTTCTGCGGGGAGGGACGCAGGAGGGAAACGACGAGATTCGCGTCCACTGGAGCCGCGCTGACCGCGGCTTTGTTTCGCGTACAGTGTGCATCGCGGCAGTCGCGAATCTTCGCATTCTTCGCGATATACAAGAGCGATCGTGAAGTAAGTCCCTTCATTATTTACTCGCGAGTACAAGAGACCGATAATCCGCCGCTTAAAAAATGAAATACAGATGAAGCAAACCGTGACACTCGCAGTTCTTAAAACTGCAGGCGCTGCCTGTCACTCGCGTGCTGCGAAAGAATACTTGGAAACTTGTCACATAGAGTTCGTCTCTGCGAAAATGCTGACACGTCGAACAAATTCGTTCGTTACGCGCGGCAAACGCGATCTTTCCTTCTCTCATTTTGTTCTGAACTAAAGAGAGGGAGCATTTCCGGATCATCCCCGCGCGTGTCTCGCCCGGGGTGTCCTTGCATTCCTCGCGACTCTCCTTACGGTCGTAACTGAAGCGTAAAAGGGAATTTCCGCGTGAGAACCGGCGATTGCGATCGTCCTCGGCGCTCGCAACTCCTCGGAACGCACCTCGACCGGCCATCTCTATTCCGCGTTTAAATTGGCTCGGCTCGTTAGGCGTAATTAAGAGCCGGCGGGAGGTGTTCTCTCGCGGTGAATATAAAATTCCACCTTGCCACCCTTGGGTGCAGCGCTACGCGGCGCGTTACGATGCGCTCGTGCGCCAGCCCGCAGGACAGAGAGAGAGAGAGAGAGAGAGAGAGAGAGAGAGAGAGATGCATTTCCACGTGCACACGCAGCGTTGCGTGCAACACCCGATTAACCCTCTCGCGGAGGGGGCGGATTAATTTTCCTCCTCTTTTTTCCCTTTTCTTTAACAATTCGTGTATGTGCGTGACTGTGTAATTCGCGCGACTCAATTGCCACAAAATGACGAAATGCACACTCGCCCTCTCTCTCCACTTTTCCCAAGAGTTCTCCCCTTCAAGACGATGGAATTAGTTCTTATCAGCGCTGATCGCGAAATGCTTCATTCACTTCACTCACAGAATCGCGCATACTATCCTTCATTCGACGTAATGAGAAGAATGTTAGCACGTGGTAGTTAATGATGAATTACCACTCTTGAAAGCTAAGAATTAAATCTTCCTCGAACGTATCCGCTTGCTGAAGAAAGGGAGAGATTGAAATGCGCGTGGTATCGAGCGAAGTTCATTTCCTTCGTAAGAGCGCACTTGCTCGTCGCAAGTCGCGACGAGCAACGAGGACGCGCGAGGGATTAATGCGCGTTGACTGTTACGTTAGAATAAATGACGCTTACACTTGGAGCGTGAAGCGGAAAACCAAGCGTGACATCGACCGCGTGCGCGCGCTGCGATTTTTACCGAAGATCGCGAATGCAACAACGTGACACTGAAATAACGCGTCCATTCAGGAAAGCGCATCCATTATTCATAACACGCGACCACGTCCGACGCGCTCGAGGTTCCGCTCGAGTGACGCGTTTGCAGATTATCGCCCGCCAAATGTAAGACGGCGGCTCGTGATTCAGAGTGCACGGTAATTTCGTCTCTCGACTGCACACGAGATGCATACATGAGAGTGAAAGAGAGAGAGAGAGAGAGAGAGAGAGAGAGAGAGAGAGAGAAACGAGATGCGTCCCGATCGCACGCAGGTGCATTCGATCGGCCGCTTTATACCGTTCGTTGAAAATGGCTCGTCGCGCGACGCTCGACCCAACGAGCCGAAATCTCTTCTTCTCGTGTTGTCACGGCGAGAATTTGGTGATTCGTCACCTATGAACTTCGCGAAGAAAAGCTGGTCGCAGATGTGTCGCACTGAAAAAGATATAATCTTCTTCTTAGCGGAATCCTCTTATATATCGCCTCAAGAGGATTTTTCTAAAACCAAAAGAAAAATGTTGCAAGCGCAATATTCTTGAAGTTAGAGAAACTTGGTTTTTTCTTGACAGAAATGTTTTCTTCTCTGAGAAAAAGTATACGGGAAGAATATTGTATAAAAATTACTGTACAATTTTGGTATTCCGGGATTAGACTGACGCTACAATGAATACATCTGTACTATAATAATTGCGCGAATGATTGTCCAAGAAGATCTCTTTAGTCCTAAGAGAGTCTCGAGGACGCGTTTTCTCCCTCGCGCTTCCGTCTTCCTGGAGGATGAAGCGGCGGGTAAAAGCGCCGAGTAATTCTCCGAGGGAGGCTGGAAGAGGGGGACGACAGTTTAGAAAAATGCGGGGAGTTAAGAACGCGTTTCTCCGTTTCCTTTTAGGAGGCGCGGCGAAGGCGAAGTCGAAGACTTCTCCCCGAGGGATCCTCGCATCCCTCGGACGGATATATATCCGCGGGAGCGACGATAAAGAGCCGCCGGTCTCCCGATACGGCAGTCCCGCGATCGCGCTTCTTCGCCGTCGATTCACGACGCTGCCAACTGGAGAACGAGACGACGGAAACAACGACGACGACGACGACCGTGTCGTTGCAATAGCCCGCGTTGTATTTGCTCAAGCTTTTACCGTTCGGCGCTCGTCAGCGAGATTCGCGGACTTTCCTCCGAATAAAATTGCACAGGACGTCTATAAAGCGCGCGTTACGTCTAACGGTGCATACGCGCGCAACGGATGTCGTGTCACCTTGCGGTGCTCAAAGCGTACAAGCCGCGAATTTGCGGCGCGATTCCGCATCTCCACTTCCATTCCCAACGCCGTGGGTACTAGCGGAGTCGCGCGGTGCATTGAGTTTTCCGGGATTTACGGATATCCGCGTGCGCCGGGGTGGATCGCGCAAGGACGATTTTGCGAACTCCACGGCAGACGGTTGCGAATCCTTTTCACGGTTTTGCGCAAAATACATTTCCCGATGATAGAAGGAAACGGATGACAGTCGGTGAAACTGTCGGTCGCCGTGGAAAATTCTTCGCTTTTCTTCGGATTGGCCGGCAAAATCGCGCGGCAAGAAGCGCGATGAATCTGACGATCTTACGTAATAGGAAAGAATGAAATACTCAATTCGCCTGACACTACTGCGGCGATATCATGTCTTACTCGTACACCGGACTCGTAGTCGCGCGCAAAACTGCACAAGCATTGTTTGCAGATCGTGGGAAACCGGGAAGCGATTACGTAGAGAAGGATAGAGAAGAGAGAGAGGTGGATAAACTGCGTACTCGCGAGGCACCCACTCGGCGCAACGTGGAAGAATAACCCGCGGAAGTGACTTCTGGAAGGTCACGAGAACGCGCAAGTAAGACGCGTCCATCGTGAGGAATTGCCGCGTTGCACACGAAGCGCCTGCGGCCTTGACGTCCCACGTATGTGGGTTACGCGAATGATACTATTAGAAAAGAAATAAAAAGAAGCAAATCCGAATTAGACTTTGCGAATAGAGATCAAAAATTGAAGAGGGGAGATCATTAGTCAATTAGAATTGCGAATAAAGGTCAAAAACTGAAAGGAGAAGATTATTACAGTCAAGACGATCGATGCTTCTCTCCTTTCTCGCCTGCTCGTCGCGTCGACTTAGCGCTACGTTGAATAATTACTGGAGGCTTCGTTAGCTCGCTCCGGAAGCTCGCATCTCATCCCTTGAGATCCCGGAAATTCTAGCTACGCCACTGGCTGACTCGCGAATCTAGGTCATCCAAGGGGGAGGAGAGAGAGAGAGGGGGAGATAGAAAGAGATAGAGATAGAGAGAGAGAGAGAGAGAGCACATTTCACCCTCGACCTTCTTGCAGAGACCGGCTTCGCCCTCGCCCGCTACGACGAACGTGAGGCTCGGCGACGTGTGCAACCGAGATCGGGACTGCGAGGTCGGCATCGCTAATAGCCACTGCCACTTGGGTTATTGCCGGTGTCAGCCCTTCTTCGCCGGCTACAATGGGACGCATTGTCTGGAGTGTAAGTCCGACAGAGCATTCTCCTCGCCTACTTGAAAACCGCTATTCTCATCCCCTAAATAGATACCCTTGGAGCGCGCGCTTTGTAGCGTTCCGTGAGCAAACATCTACGAGGTCTCAAAGAGACCTCGAGCTAGGTTTCGCGTATCGACCAAATGAACCGCAATTTCGCTCACTTAACTGTCGATCGTCCAATGCACGTCGCGTCGTTAATCCTACACAGAGAAAATAAGATAACGGTCCTAATTATGGGTCATTTATGGCTAGAGTACAACATTGCAACATTCAATCATTTACATAAATTTGTTGATCGAGCATTAAAACGAGCTGTTTGTATCGATGTAAGCTTCGAACTTTATAGTTTCAAAATTATCGGTCTTTAAATTAGTTTATTCTAAATTGTAAAAAGTTATTGGAAATATTTTTTATGCGTAAGCAATTACGGATAAGCAACTATTAATAATAAAAATTCCAAGAAAATTTGTGTAATCTTGGACTGTACAAAATTGTATTATATATTTGTCTAAAAGTGTGTAGAAGGAATTACAATTTTAACGTAATTTTCACTATAATATTTCCTCTGTGTAGTTTTTTAACTGTCTTCTTGAGTAATTTCAACAATTTGCAGAGTTCGTGATATTTCACGACTTTCATACTTTCTTAGAGTTCTACCATAAAGTATAGAGAGAAAATGTACTTATTAATAATTATTACTTACATACTTATATACGTATATTACTTATATACTTATTAATAATTCGATCTGTTAACTTAATTCATACCACAAAAATGCGCCGAGGATTAAGTGCGAAGAAGTCTTTTTGACGCTTGTCATCATTCAGCTACGAAGGAGGCGACGCCTTCCTCGCTATTCCTCGCGGAGACAAGTTTGAGTCAGCCGATGAGATTGTCGCTTGCTGAAAATCTCTTGACATTTCAGCGACTCTGCTGGGCCACGATTGCCTCGTGAGGGAACAGTGCTCCCTGAAAGTGGCGAACAGTAGCTGTCTCGACGGCGTGTGCAGATGCGAGGAAGGACACTTGCAGTTCCGCAGGCACACTTGTCTCGGACGTAAGTCTTGGCATTAATCATCGACGCTGTTATCGTTTAATAATAAGTGGCAGTTGAATCGATCGCTATAAATCAAATGAATGCGCGCGCTCAACAACGCGCGATCGTATTCGCGCCCGAGTTTAATTTCCATTTCATCGGCGATCAAATAATTAATAAATTAATGCCACCTAAACGTTCGTTATTAGCCTAATAAATTCTTCATGAACAATGAAAAAGAAATCCGGATGAATTCCCGCCACACGGCGAAGTGAGTAATAAATTCATTCCGGATCGATCGTCATTGCTTCAACAACTTTCCCGTGGACGAACGCAACAAATGATCCGCGGAGATTGAGGTAACGACTCGTGATAACGACACACTCGATCGGCATCGCGATAGATCGATACGCGCAGTAATAATAAAAAGTCCCCCGGGGATGCCGCGTGCGTTGCCGGAGCTGGAAGCTATCTTCGTGTGACATTAAGACCGTCATTAACGACATGGAACAACGCGCATCGGTGAAAGGATCGACGATGAATAGCCACGGCGAAGTGCGGTCGGAGTATCCCGCGGAGAAAATTCTAATTTATGCGGTCTCCTCGGCCTCACTGTCGGCCGCGGAGTCGACGTGATACTTTGCGAAATGGCGTCTTGAAAACGCATTCGCGGAATACCCCTTTCGCTCTTCTGCTTGATTTATCGCGGCTCGTTTGCGATCGCTCACGGGGCCGCTTATTGTGGAGTTTCCGATGTTACGGGAGATTCAGCGCGCGCTGATGATACGATTTTATGCTCGTCGATATTCTGTGCGTCGGTTTTTTCCCTGAAAATTGGCCGTAGTTACGCATGAATGATCTGACCTACGTGGAGCACGTTCGGAGGAAAATGAAGATGAGAATTTGTTACGCGATTTAAAAAGTATAAATAGCACTGAGATTCTTGGTAATCTTTCAAGAAGTCAAACATAGTCAATTGTCTTGTCTTTAAAGATATTCATTGACAAACTTAACTCTGAATGAACTCTGCGCCTATGCGGAGAGGGATGACTTGATTGAGATTGACGTGCGAGTTCGTAAGCCGAGAACCGAATCTAATTTTGCAGCGGCGAAGCTCGGCCAGGTGTGTTACGAGCACGCTCACTGTCGCCTCTGGGACCCCGAGTCGCACTGCGATTTCCTCATTCCGGATTTATTCGGCCGGTGCCAATGCACCGCACCGATGCGCCGCGAGGGCGATGTGTGCCGACCTGACAGCCTGGTGAGACCGGCGCCTCTTCAGGAGCATCTGCCGCCGTTCCAGGCGCCGATAGAGGATGTCACCGATAAGGGAATGGCCGGCGCAGGGCAGAAGGTCGAGAGTGAGCAAGACACAGGTACGTGTGTAACGTAGAAATTGGATCATTCAGTTACTTACGGTACTGAAAAAACCGGTACTGACCCAACTCCGTTGGGGTCCGACGATTCAATTGCGTCTCTTCCTTCTCGATCATGTCCCAAATATTTGTAAAAGTTAATTTCTCGCTGTTGTGAGTTAATCATATCTCTTTCTCTTTCTCCTCCTTCTCTATAAAGAGCTGTGCAATTTTAATTCGAATCTCAAAAATGGCATAAACTCTCTTAAAATAAATCAGTAAAAATGTTTCTACACTGAGGGAAATGTCTGATGATACTAACTAGAAAATTCTATTTAGGTTTACCAAACGGTATCGTGAATAATCGTGTAACAAGATATTTAGTCAATGATACCAAACTATCTGGTAAACGCATTGTCTAAGTAGCCTTACAGTAATGCTTAAATACGTTTACCAAACCGTCTGGTACAGCATACAATTCATTTGGTGAATGTTATGAATACAGTTGTGGAGTAGTGTTAGACTTCTTACTTAACCTAAAATCTAACTATATTATATATAATTTTCATATACTTACTATATATAATCTTCATATATTTACTTCTAAATTCGTCGACATATTTTAAGAAATTTCATTCTTCCAAATATTTGACGGTTTCAGCGTTTACTGTTTTATAGCACCGACGTCTTTACAAATTAATATAAATAAAAAACGAAACGTCGTAGCGAGTAATAATTAACTATCGCGTCAATAGTATCACACATTTAGAGAGAATTATCAAACTGTCTAGATATCTCGGTATTGACTACCAGATGCGTCGAGGCATCGTAATCAGAATATTGGATATGTGAACCAGATATCGCCATAACCAAATATAAATTCACTTTCATAAGACGAGTATAGTGTCATTTATCAAGCCATTTCTCTCAGTGTAGCTGAAAAATCGGAAAATACTTCATGGATGATCAGTGAGTATTCATTGATTTTCAGTGGAAATACTTTTACTGCTTCATCTTGCATTTCACAGTCGACATTTTGATCACGGTGGAAGTGTAAAATCTAAAGAACAAAAATTCGTTATACCGAATCCGACTTTCTGTGTTTGTGACGGTGGAAATAACGGTTTCTAGGCGATTTGCGGACGATGACACTGTTACTGTTTGCAAACTGCATCAATAATGGTTAATAATCGCTACTATTAACTCATCCTTACCGCAAGAATTTATTGATTGCAGCGCTATATCTATAACTGAACCGCCAATTATGTAAGTGTAGCGTTTTAGTCAAGAATACACTGATTGCATTTCGGAGAGTATATTCGTCAGTCTAACGTGTTTACTTAATCATCGTACAACTTTAGAGCAGCCCGTTCCGAACTTCAATTAACCTCGGAAACTCAAACGCACTCGATCCGTGCTCTTCTTCTGATTGAAATCGGCGCGCGCGCGCGCGCGCGAATAATTAATAAAAGGATACTTCGTGAGGTCGTTTTTTATCGGAGCGATTTTATCGGAGTGTCTGTTTGCTCGCTATGTCGATTAATTACACACCGATAAGCGATCTCGCTCGTCTCAGACGGGAAACAAATCATCGTTTCCGGCGAGAGAGCGCGCAGAAATCGCTGCTGAAACGGCGGAATCGGAGACGTTCTCCCCGAGTTCACGCTCTATCGAGTACGCGAACCTGCGCAAACTAGCAGACACGAGGTACCTGACTTCTCCATAAGCCACTTAGCATTCCCCCTGTGTAACCCTCGGTCGCGTACGTTATATGGGAATCGCGCATCGGGCCGCATCATCGCCTCTGCCGGCGTTCGCGCGCCTTTTATCCGGTAATCAGCTTTTCCGTGTGCGCGAGACGCACAACGGGAGTGCCGAGACGAGAAGCGGTTTCGTATTCCGGCCCGAAAGCGCTCGAGCGGATTAACGAGGTGGGCCGATTCGCATTCTTAATTAGCGCGGTCATTAGCGAAACAGCGAGTGGCATTTCCCTGCGAACGTACGAAGAAAACTTCGTGCTACGCGCGCGATTTGTATGTGTATATGTGTGTGTGCGCGCGCGCGTGCGCGTATGCGTGTGCATTCGCCGCAATTATGCATACGGAACTTCGTTATCTTTTAATTCCTTGTCTTTCGCCGCTTTTAAGGATTATCGCGATAACTAGCTTAAGCTCAATGATCAGATAATAACAGATAAAGCAACTAATAAACAAGTTAATAAGCAACAGCATTCTGTGATGATTAAAATCGTTACGGATTACTTTATAAATTACTGTTCCTTTTTATTTCTCCTCTGCGTGTTATATATACTTCTTAATCTTTAATTTTATATATATATAATATTTAATTTTTTCTTTTACCTTTCATTTTTTTATATAGTATGTTGTCTCCATGTTCTTTTTTCTGTGTATCAAAGGGAGACATATTTGCATTTAATTAAATAAATAAATAAATTATTGTAAACCCTGCACAGAGAGAGAGAGAGAATTTTATGACTAAAATTATTATAGAATTTTATAATTGAGAAATCCCAGACAGCACAAATGTCTAAAATCAAGTCATAAGACGTCTTTAGGACATCTTTAAGACAATTAAAGTCTTTAAGACCTTATAAATTTGTCTTAAAGATGTCTTAAAGACGTCTTATGACGATTTTGGACATTGTACTGTCTAGGATAGATCGACATTGTGCAGTGATTCACTATCCTTTTCATCTCATTTTCATATATTCTCTCCGTGTAAGAGATACTTTATAAACGTTGTACCTGGACAGGTGTTCAATTATCCTGGTTGAAAAATGCAACGATGCTCTTGTCGACGAAAGCACCCAATCAGCTGATACCTGTCAACCTGGTGACGAGACCATCGTTGAACATGAGACCAGGATCCAACGATCGTCCTGGACCGCACGAGCTGCCCGACGACGACGATGCTATCGTTATCGAAGCGGAAATCACTGAGCCTGTTCCCATCACGTCCACTTCGACGTCCGGTAAGTCGTGACTACGTTATCATCCGAAGAATGTTCTACATATGTCGTGATTAGATAACTCAATTATCTTTTCAATATGTCGAAGGTTTCGGCTCTAAAAATACAACAAAATATAATTAGAGAGAAAAGAAGGCAAAAATAAGTTCGCAGAAGTCAAAGTTTTTGGAGCTGCAACTTTCATCTGCTGAAGAGCTATGTGTCATACGGAAAAATAAGATCTGCTACATATGGACAACTAAACATAATTTACTATATTAGCCACTTTTTCTTTGCTGCAAGAGCCAATTTCCTTGCTATGATATCAAAAAAATCTGCTCCTGCAACAAAAAAAGTAACTAAAGCAGTAAATTATATTTGCCCATTTGTAGCAAATTTGCTACATTAGCCACTTTTCTTGCTGTAGAAGTAGATTTTCTTGATATCATAGCAAGAAAATAGGTTCCTGCAGCAAAGAAAAAATAGCTAACACAGCAAATTATATTTGACTATCCATATGTGGCAAATTAGTTTGCTGCTGCAGCAAGTTATTTTTTTCTGTGCATTCATACATGGAAAAAAATAATTTTGCTCTTTTAGCAAAATTGCTGTTGCTACTGTATATTCGTAGTGACATCAAAAAAATTTAGTTGACATAACTAATTTTATAAATTATTCGTTATCAGAGCAGATGTAGTTTCGTTGCTATAGGATAAAAAAAATTTGTTGAGTGTATTTGTCCTAAAAATCACGTTAATTTGCTATTGATGCAAAATAATGTATCCTTAGCAAATTTATTTATTATCGGAGCAAAACTGCAACTGCTTATAAATCCATTATGGTTCTTATAACAAAAAAATTTGTAGATTCAGCAAATTATATCCAGCAAGTAGTGATTAGTACTTTTAGCAAATCTTTTTGCTGTCTATATAATAACGAAAAGATTTTGTTAAATCAGCAGAAAATTTGCTGGGCTAACAAATTATTTTTCTCCGTGTAGAATAGAAAAAATTTGTTGAATGTATTTGTCCTAAGAATCACGTTAATTTGCTACTGATGCAAAATAATGTATCCTTAGCAAATGTATTTGCTGCCGGAGCAAAACTGCAACTGCTTATATAAATCCATTATGGTTCTTATAACAAAAAAAATTTGTAGATTCAGCAAATTATATCCAGCAAGTAGTGATTAGTACTTTTAGCAAATCTTTTAGCTGTCCATGTAATAACGAAAAGATTTTGCTAAACCAGCAGAAAATTTGCTGGGCCAGTAAATTATTTTTCTCCGTGTATCTGTTTATTTCAGCGCCGATCAAGACGGATCGGCACGAGAGCACGATAATGACGGCGGTCAGTCTTGGTCTGGCCTGCATCGCCGACCTGGAGTGCCGAATGGCCGACCCGCTGTCGCGCTGCATCGGCGGCGTCTGCGACTGCAGCCTCCTGACGAACGGCAGTTGCAGCGCGCGTAGGACCGGCTGCGCGCCCGGCACGTTCCAGTGTCGATCGTCCGGGAGCTGCATCAGCTGGTTCTTCGTCTGCGACGGGCGTGCTGACTGCGCCGACGGCTCCGACGAGGAGTGCACCGGCGCGGTCTGCCCGGTACAAGCCTTCAGGTGCAACGACAGCGACGTCTGCATCTCGAGATCGGGGGTGTGCGACGGCAACCGCGACTGTCCGCGCGGCGAGGACGAGATCGGCTGCAACAATCGGCGAAGTTGGTATCCGCTGTATTTCGGCTCTGATTTGCCGTGAAAATGCACTCGCACGTCCATCTTTGGGTTTCGCGAAGCAAATTGGTAGAGCATCGGACACTTTTCAAATTCAAATCAACGGAATCTGTTTCTTCTTAGGAAATCAAAACGCGATTTTAGCGGCTTTTGACTTTGAGATTTTGGCTTTTGAGATTAATTGTGTGTTATTAAATTAAAGGAAAACTTGCTCGATGTTCACTGAGAAGAAAATATTTGGTATATGGAACAATAATCATATAGAGAAATAATTACTATAAATTATGGTCAAGGAAATAATTTTCTTTTTTATTAAATTTTACTGTAACATTTGTGACAATAATCTCATATGCACTCTCTAAATTTTGTGAAGCGAAATTTCGCTTAAAAAGTAGAGTGACGATCGAATCACTCGAATTATTTTCGTTGGAAATTGAAGAGTGAGCCTGATGCATTCAAGTAATATATTCACTCCAATCGATTGAAACATTCGCCCATATGGAGTCAGAATCCATTCTGATCTCACAATATCGAGTGAAAACATTCACTTCTGTGGTTTCCAGTGGCAGTATTTTTACTTTCCCCTCTCGTGTGGAACGTACTTTTCACTCTAAGAAATTCAGAGAGCGTGTCATTTCATTGCACAAAATATGATCAAGATCAGGAATAAGTATGACTTTAGTTGAATAAATTAATTTGTTCTTTCTCAGTGTTCACACGTTAGCACTACCTACGAATTCTATCCTACACTGAGGGAAATATCTGATGATACTAACTAGAATTCTATTTAGGTTTACCAAACGGTATGGTGAATAATCGTGTAACAAGATATTTAGTCAATGATTCCGAACTACCTGGTAAGCGCATTGTCTAAGTAGCATTACAGTAATGCTTAAATACGTTTACCAAACCGTCTGGTACAGCATACAATTCATTTGGTGAATGTTATGAATACAGTTGTGGAGTAGTGTTAGACTTCTTACTTAACCTAAAATCTAACCATATTATATATAATTTTCATATACTTACTATATATAATCTTCATATATTTACTTCTAAATTCGTCGACATATTTTAAGAAATTTCATTCTTCCAAATATTTGACGGTTTCAGCGTTTACTGTTTTATAGCACCGACGTCTTTACAAATTAATATAAATAAAAAACGAAACGTCGTAGCGAGTAATAATTAACTATCGCGTCAATAGTATCACACATTTAGAGAGAATTATCAAACTGTCTAGATGTCTCGGTATTGACTACCAGATGCGTCGAGGCATCGTAATCAGAATATTGGATATGTGAACCAGATATCGCCATAACCAAATATAAATTCACTTTCATAAGACGAGTATAGTGTCCTTCACCAAGCCATTTCTCTCAGTGTATAGATGACAGAGGAAACGTCACAGCGAGTAACAATTAACTCTAATCGCGTCAATAGTATCACACATCTAGAGAGAATTGTCAAGATGTCTACAACTAAATGTCTCGGTATTGACTACCAGATGCTTCGAGGCATCATAATCAGAATATTGGATATGTGAACCAGATATCGCATATAAATTTACCATATTACTTTCATCAGACGAGTATAGTGTCATTTATCAAGCCACTTCTCTCAGTGTATCCACACGTCTGCTTGTTTTCGAGATTGTCGAATGTTTTGCTCGGTCGACACGTGCGACTCTCGCGTTTCGCCCGTATCTTCACGTGCCTCTTCACAACTCGTTTGCGCAGAGTGTCCCGAGGGTGCGTTCAGATGCAACAACGGCCAGTGCCTGCCGGCTTACGAGTTCTGCAACGCGGTGGTGTCCTGCAGGGACGGCAGCGACGAGCCCAGAGGAGCGTGCAGGACACGCAATCGGGGCAGGATCGCCCCGAGATTCTGTCCGTTCAGGTGCGACAACGGCAGGTGTCGTTCCGACGCGATAACCTGCAGCGGTCGAGACGGATGCGGCGACGGCTCCGACGAGAAACACTGCAGCGTCTGCAGTAAGTGTATACATTGTTTCGTATTTCTAACAAAATTATTTCGCCCGCGAAAAGAAGGGAAACGCAATGTTTAACTCTTTATTTAAACGAGACCTTATTCAACCGTGTCTTATTGAAATTTTTATTTATCTCGCTCGTGTATATTTTTATGAGAAGTCAGAAACAGCGTTACGGATTAAGAAGTTACAAGTAGCATTTATGAGAACATTTATGAGAAGCAAGCGTGCGAAAGGTCTCTTCATGCCATTATGAAATAGATAAAATGTCGCTTATGAAAACGCGGCAGATTTGCCCCCACTCCCGACGAGACTTTTGTTCTCGGCAATTATGCGGGCTCGCTTATAAACAACATTTGCGATCTAATGCATCGTGAGGGCGTCGTTTAGATCCGCGCGCACTTCGCTTCCTAGAAGCTAACGCGAGGTAGAGTCACGCTCGCGTGTAATTAGAGCGGGATGCATCGATTACGGGCTATCTTCCGCAATAATCTACACGCATCCGGAAGAATATAGTGAGAAATTACATAAATGAATTAGTCATAAACAAGCAAGTACCCCGAGACGGAAATAATAATAATAATAGCGATTCGGAAGCATCGTCCGTGCAAGCCGGCCTCGCGATTTATTTCGCGCGACCGAGATAAGGTGACCGTTGCATTCTTCTTCGGAACAATAGCGGAAAATTGTGGTGGGGATTCAAAGGGGACGAATTCAAAGAGGCAACGCGTACACGGAGTACTCGAGATTCGTTGCTTTTCGTTGGAAAAGAATGGGAACAGTCACGAATGTGTCGGATGTCACTCTGAGAAAAGAATACTTGAAATCTCTTTGTGGGACATAGTTTATTTCTGTGTATGAACTTTACATCCCACAGATAAATCTTCAAGTATTTTCTTCTCAGTGCATCGATCCGATCTAAATTTAAAAAAATCATGCGTTTCCGTGGAATTATTATCAAACTGACAACGGCGCGAACGAAATGAATCTTACAATGCCAATTACATGCCAATCACGTTTGGCGCTTATCATTCCCAACGTGGGTGCAGCAACCCACATTAATGTCGATAAGCGTGCCGTCGTCACAGGATGCCGATTATCGAGCCGGCATGTTGCAGGATGCAGCGGAACGGTCTAATTTCGGCCGACTGACCTCTGCCGTGTTGTGTTGCATCGTCGGACAAAAGGATGGAAGAAGAGGACAAGGAAGAGCGAGCGAGCAAGCGAGAGAGAGAGAGAGAGAGAGAGAGAGAGAGAGAGAGAGAGAGAATGTGCATGTATGTAGGTGTGGAAGGAAGGAAGAGGTCAGACCAAACTAACTCGTCGATGGTTTCGCCAAGTAAGTGCTCGAGTATTATGGCGGGCACAAAAGTAAGTGTGACCAAAGATCGTTAAGCCGTATCGGTGACTCCGGCTTTCAATGCTCCGCGATTTCGAGACCGAGAGGATCGTTTTTAGCCCGACTCGAGTCCAGTTTTCAGAACGGACTTGTAGAGATAGAGAGAGAGAGAGAGAGAGAGAGAGAGAGAGAGAGAGAGAGAGAGAGAGAGAGA